TCTTGCCGGTGGATTTTTCATCCACACAACCCCATCTTTGGATGTGTAAAATTCGCCAACGGGCAATTGTGAATTATTCACAGTAACCGCCTGTCCTTCGACAACTTCTTCATCACTATCGTCACTTTCCACCGCAACATTCTTCTCAATGTGCAACTTTTCTTCAGCATCGGACGTCGCTTCATCAGGGGGAATATAGTCCTCATCAGCATCATCACTTCTGAACGGATCATCTTCTTCATCCTCGATCAAACGATGTTTACCCGATCAATGCCAAAAGAAAACTACACACAAGAGTTTTACACATACACATATGGCGGCATACAGTCGCCAAACGTGATCAATCGTGTTTTGGCTATGATGGCTTCCATGCTCATCGTTGAGAGTGATGAAAAATTAAAAATCAGGTTGACGATGATATAATTTTATTATTCGCAATTGGTGCTACAATGTTTCGACAGCTTAGCTGTCTTCTTCAGGCACGACGTCNCCATCTCCGGAGTAACAAATTGCTTGAATATGCTGATTGGACTGGCAAAAACTTGCTGCATAACTGGGGTAGGACCACATCTGGCAACAACTGGAACATTGTGTGCATGCGGACGGTATCTTGCCGGTGGATTTTTCATCCACACAACCCCATCTTTGGATGTGTAAAATTCGCCAACGGGCAATTGTGAATTATTCACAGTAACCGCCTGTCATTCGACAACTTCTTCCTCTTCTGCATCACTATCGTCACTGTCCACCGCAACATTCTTCTCAATGTGCAACTTTTCTTCAGCATCGGACGCCGCTTCATCAGGGGGGATATAGTCCTCATCAGCATCATCACCTCCGAACGGATCATCTTCTTCATCCTCGATATTCTCACTCGCAAAAAACGCGGCCAGTCTGTCCTCAGTGAGCTGCTGCCGGTCTCTCGGAAGTCTAGAAAATCTTTCACGCCTATTTACAACCATATCAAAGTCTTCCCACACTTCGTCGCCTATTACCGACGTTTCAAATGGTACAAATCAAGAAAACCGAAGAGCACAAAAAACACACAGTAAAAATGCAACACAAACGATGTTTACCCGATCAATGCCAAAAGAAAACTACACACAAGAGTTTTACACATACACATATGGCGGCATACGGTCGCCAAACGTGATCAATCGTGTTTGAACGTTTTGTTGGCAGCTTATATACGTTTCCCATACATTGAACGGACGAGCCTCGTGAGGCCCAGTGGGTACACTTACCACCTTGATACATAAACAGATCAGGTTTGTTCTACAAATTCAATGCAAATAATCTTTAGCTAGGTTTGTTACGTTTAGAAAACATAAGCAGTAGTTCGCATAAAATATTTCGGCGCTCAGAACTAAGAAAAAAATTTGGTGACTACTAAAAGTCAAAATGAGCCTCGAAAAGCCCAGTCGCACATCCTAGGGTTAAAGGGTAACTTATGTTGTTTCCCAACCAGGCAGTCTTCACATACAAAATCTCTTCCAATATCCACAAATTCTATTTTATTTTTTCTCAAAAATTCCCTGACGTGCCCAACATTTTGGTGAGCCAATTTGCAATGCCATGCTTTTAAGGTTTCTATTGTATTTGCTTGCATACATTGTGATATCAGGCCATTGTGTTTGGAAACAATTATTTTTGCCATTGAATTTTCTAATGTGAACATCATTTTATATAATTTGTTTTCTCTTATAGCTACAGCTCTAACATTACCATCTTTATTCCTAAATTGGCATCTTGTATCATCTGAAGTCATAAAGTATCCCTTGTCAAGTGCACACCCAGCAGAGAAAAGGTTAAATTCCAATTCTGGAACATATAGCACATTTGATAGGGTTGTTTCGATCAATCTCTCACCATTGTAAGCCCATAATTTAATTTTTCCTGTTCTTTTGACTTCCAGTTTTTGACCATTTCCTAACCGAACCACTTTCCTTACTTTTAATTTGCTCATGTCTTTGAAAAGGTTTCTATCCCATGACAGTTGTTCGCTCGCTCCTGAATCGAGACACCACTCTTTGCTTTTTATTTTATTTGTACATACCATGAAGGCGTTTGTCATATCTTTTTCCGGGTCCAATTTTGACGAGTTACCCTCACGTCCTTTGTTTTTGAACCAGCAACTCTGTACTGAATGGCCAGTTCTCTTGCATACTTCACAGAACTTTTGACCTTTTTTTAGATTTTTTGGTTCTACATTATTTCTCTTTCTGTGAAAGCAGTTTTTTGCAATGTGGTTTGTTTTGGAGCAGATATAACACTGTCGTGGTGAATTATGGTTTTTCGAGCCTACCGATTTGGTTGCCAAAGCAGTAGTGCTGTTTTCAAAGAATTTAGACCTTTCTTCCTCCAATGACAATCGTGAAGTGAGTTCTTCCAAATTTTGTTTATCCACTGGCACAGATTTCTAAGCGGACTTAAAGTGTTTGAATTCCCCAGGCAGTGACATGAGAATTTTTGTTATTATCATTTTTTCTGAAAGTTCTTCGCTAGCGGTTTTTAATTTAGTTTTTATAACCTCTATTTTTGATATAAAGGTACTCACCGTACTGTCGAATTCGAGCACAAAGAATCTTTGTTGTAGGAGGTATGCGCTAACAGCAGATTCTTTGTCGTACACGGCTTTTAATTTTGTTCACATTTCCTTTGCTGTGTTGCATGATAAGATATGCGACAATGGGTCTTGTTCCATTCTAGTAACAATTATCTCCTGTGCTTTGGCATCTTCCTTGATCCATTTTGATAATTCCTCTTCGTTTGTTGTTGGTTTTTGATTTAATCCATCTACAATCTCAGAAAGACCACGCCCTTTGAGTATTATGGTTATTTGGAATTTCGTTTCATTTGGAAAACGTCTTTAATTTTTTTAATTACGGTTTTACTTCTCAAATCCGTTATGTTTTCAGTTTCAATAAAAGTTGACAAATAGTTTACAATTACTATAAAGTTGTTGTTGTTGTATTCAAACAAATCGATTCCCACTTCTTGCCAAGGCAATTCTGGTACAGGTCTTAATATTAATTTTGATTTTTGTTTGTTGTCGCTATATTTATTGCAAGTATTGCAATTTTTAACATATTTTTCGATGTCTTTGTTGATATTCAACCAATATAATGTGTTCCTTGCTCTGTTTTTCATTCTGCTTATCCCCGGATGTCCTGTGTGTAATTTGTTCAGCATTTAATTCATTGAGAACTAAAACCCTGTTATCTTTGAAAATTAGATCTTTTAAAACCGTCAAACTATACCATATCCAGATCGAATTCGCACTTATGAAAATCAATTTCAAATTTACGAAATTGGATTTCACACAACTGAAAATTATTTTCGTACTAACGAAAAATCAATTTCGTACTAATGAAAACCAATTTTACACTAAAGAAACTAAATTTTTCCTTTACGCATTTCAAAGTCAACATTATGAAAACGAATTTTACATTCGTGAAAATGAATTTTATGTTTATGAAGATCAATTTCGTTTATTCAGGGACATGTTTATTCAATGGAATTTTAATAACGAGTATTTAAATAATTACAACAATATAATTAAATTAAACAATTAAATGATAACTATATATATACAGGGTGTCCCGTTAAGCATACGGAGCGGCTGTATCTCTAGAACGGTAAGGCCTAGAGGTTTGGGAAAAAAAATCCTTATAAGCAAAGTGACCAAGAGAAATAGCTGGAAATTATTTTGAAGTTCGTAATTCGATCGCTAGGGGGCGTAACTGCCATTGAGAAACATAAAGTTCCCGCTATCTCAGAAACTTAGACGATGAGCTATAACTTTGACAACATCATTTAATAGCTTGGATAATACCGCATCGCTTTTGTTTTGCGATATTTCTCATATCTGTCATAATAAGGGAGGGGGAGGCCAATGCGTTTTCATATGTTTACATTTTAATATCTCCTAGACCATTCAACCGATTTGAATGTTTTCGGTGTTGTTTGAAAGAGCATTTTATGCTCTTTTTAAAGATATTTTCAGTAAGACCGTCTGCTTTAAAACAAATGAGCTAGAGGACGTTATCTGCAGCGATTACATATTTTTGTGATTTTTGAAGAAAAGTTAAATGGAACGATACTATTTACTTCACAGACCCTTAGTCACCTTAAAATTTGCTAAATTTTAGTGAAAACCGCATCTCGATATCGCCACCCGTTCTCGAGTTATAGAAGAAAATGTTAAAAACTCGAGTGCCATCAATCGGATCCAGTTACCTCATCGAGAAAAACAAATCACATAACCATGGTAACTGTAAACATGTCATTTACTAACGCAGAAGCGTATGATAGAGCGTATGATGATTTATTTTCAATGTTTCGAATACGATGCAACTGCATGGCAAAAATGTGCAATGCAATTACGACAAAGAAAGACATTTTTCTCTAGAAGTGTTTTTAAGATTGACTTAGCGATTACGGAAAACTGGCAACGTGTAGCCCATTCAGACATCTCTATGAATTCGTAAATCACATTGGTGCGCAATGTGATCCCACATAATCTGGGAACTCCGAAAACAATTGTCCACAAGAGTTCTCAAGAGAATAATATCTCCACCACGTTGTTTTACATCAGGCCTTAACAGATACCGATTATGATAACAGACTGAACTATTACCATTGACTTTTAAATATGATTTGGGCAAATCCAAACCTTTTATCACAAATGCTATGGATGCATGAAGCATCTGTCCACAAGCTGATGTAAACTTGCATAATATGCATTCTTGGTTCGAGCAAAACCCACATTGCTTTCACCCCTTTATCTATTGGGTAGACTAAACGACCTGACTTTTCAAGAAAAACCAATAACCAGGGAAAATATGACAAAACACTAAATACCAGTAAAAACGTGTCCAGGGCCGAGACTTAAGCAGCGCTTTTTTTTCGTCGAAACTAGATTAAATAAATGCATCGAGGTTTATGGAAGGCATTTCGCACATTAGTGAGTTATTTTTGCCAAAAATTTAAGTTATTCTAAGTGTTTTGGTTTATTTTGTTTTATTATCATTGTTGATGTTTCATTGATCCGTTGGCTTTTCAACACGCCTCAAAAGTAGTTTTGAAGCAGTTCTAAGCTTGGATAAAGTGTGAAGGAAGGTTCTAGATAATAAAATTTTTGTTCTCTCTTATTTGTTTCCTAAGGTAACTTGATCCGATTAAGATATACGAATTTTTAACATTTTCTTTTATAATTCGAGAATGGATGGAGATATCGAGATGCGGTTTTCACTAATATTTAGCAAATTTTATGGTGATTAACGGTCTGTGAAGTAAATAGTACCGTTCCATTTAACTTTTTTTCAAAAATCACAAAAATATGTAACCGCTACAGATAACGCCCTCTAGCTTATTTGTTTTAAACCAAGCGGGCTTACTGAAAATATCTTTTAAAAGAGCATAAAATGCTCTTTCAAACAAGATCAAAAATATTCAAATCGGTTGAATGGTCCAGGAGATATTAAAAGGTAAACATTCGAAAACGCATTGGCCTCCCCCTCCCTTATTATAAGAGATATGAGAAATATCGCAAAACAAAAGCGATGCGGTATTGTCCAAGCTACTAAATGATGTTGTCAACGTTATAGCTCATCGTCTAACTTTTTGAGATAGCGGGAATTTTATGTTTTGCTATGGCAGTTACGCCCCCTAGCGGTCGAATTACAAACTTCAAAATAATTTCCAGCTATTTCTCTTGCCCACTTTGCTTATAAGGATTTTTTTCCCAAACCTCTAGGCCTTACCGTTATTGAGATAGAGCCGCTCCGTACGCTTAACGGGACACCCTGTATAAATTACATCTTAAAACTTATATTTCGTTTAGATCTCCCTTAGCACAGCAGTATAATAACGCTCCACATGATTTGTATACCCCAAAAGATGTTGCTGGGGAGTATCCCTAATTGCTTCATCTGCGATTTCTTCTAAAATCCGCATTCTA